GGAGGGGACTGAGGTATGCAGGTGTTGGTATGTACATCCCAGCTGGCTTCTCAGAGCCCCTACCCAACTATAGCTCATTATTTGGCCACTTATAGACCCCGTCTTAATCACTTTTGAGAAAATGTAACATCTTTTAAGCCAGGAATTTTCCCATTCTTAAATCTGTAATTACCAGAAATTTCGTACCCTCAAAATCCCAAAAATGTGCGATCCATTCTAGTAAATCTATTGAAAATGCACTTTCATTTTAGTCAATACAGTAGTGAGAATGCGACGCAATTCAGCGGCACATTAACAATTGGTTGCCTCGGGCAACTCTTACGTTTCTTTCGTGCTCTCCAAACTTCCCACGTGCTCCATAACTCGATAGTGCACAGCTGAAAGCATGAACCAATTGTTTTAGAACATAGCCGGTGGAATTGTGCATCAAATGCGACGCGAAAAACGGACAACAATATCAGTTGAAGCGAATCGTGACGGCGCTGATGCCGAGTCTCCTTTTCCTTTGTTTTTCTCTTTTTCTGCCTCATTTAAGAACTCTAGCCCATGGGAAAAGGTCGAAACATTGTCTTCGTTTTCGGACTAGCAGGCCGAGTTTCTGTTTGTATCCATTATTGTCGCGAAATGTATTATTTTTCCCCGCACTAGCAATGGCCGCTCGCGCGAAAAGAAAATTTCTGGCGAAGTCGGATTTGCTGACGCTATCAGCGTGCATTATCGGGATTTTGAGCACGCTTACGTATAATGAATTTGATTTTGCAACTCTGCTAACTATGCTCTAATACCTATTAGCCAATAACGAAGTGTTACCCCCCCCCCACAATCACATTCATGACAATGTTGGCAGAATTAAGCAAGATGCTGTAATCGGAGACTGACACTGTTGCTTAATTATCTCATTGATGGTCTTGACTTTTGTCCCAGGCCTCCTCCTGGTGTGCTGAACCATTGAAGGCTTAATTAATCAATGGCCTCTATTTTCCTTTTTCCTCGGTTGCCACGTTCGTAGAAAACTTGAACATAATTAAGTAGACTATATATAAAGTTTTTAAACTGTTCAGTAAATATAATATATCAAGAAACTTCAAGCCTCTTCTATTTTTCAAAGCTTTTTATTCCTCTTGCTGTTAATCTTTTATGCCAATTTAACAAAACATGTAGTGCTCAATAGAGCTTCAGAAATGTTTTGATGAAATAACCGATTGCAAATATCTTGTAACCGTTATATCTGACATCACTAAACAATCATCAATGAATACCTCATATTTCTTTAAAATATCGATAAGCTGTAAGTCTGACTTAAATTAATTCTAATGGCAATTTGTTGCTTGTAAAGATCATATGATGCTTAAAGATTAAAGCGTTGCGACCGAGGTAATGGTAAAGCTATTTTATCTTCTCTGCGAGTGGGGAAAGACGCGCTATTACTGACCATTTTAAAATGCGACATGAAATGAATAATTTCATCTTCTATAAAGTTATTCAGTTCTAAACTAAGTTTGAAAAATGAAGAGCTGATTATTATCAACGGATCCATAAGTTCAACGAGTAGGACTGGGATGGAGCGTTTCCTGTGTTAGCATTATAACTAAAGTCATATTCAGTCTCACTGGATCCGTCGTCAACAAAAGAAGCAGCGTTAGTTTCTGTAATTCCAATCCCATGATCAGCACGCTTACAGCTTTTTCCTCCTCCACCAATCATCATCACCGATGCATCACCACTACCCCAGTCACACCAGAAGCCGATCTTGTCAGCACTTTGGACGTTTCTACTGCACTCAGCCTGTTGAAACCCGTCTGTTGACTTGTACTGTCCGCCATATTGAACCGTACAGCTTCCTAGACATCGATCACTGGCCCAGACTTTGCCATTTGTAAAGTCGCCATAATTTGTGATTTTCGATCGGAATGTTTGTCCACCCAAACAGCTGCCTGTGGTCTGCAACAGAAGGGTGTGGCTTGGGTCGTCACTGCGTGTGATCTTTATTTCTCTGCCGCTAAGCGACCAAAAGGCTGGTGAAATCATATCGTTGTTCTTGCAGTCACTGTTAGAGAATCGAGCGATAAGAGTCCATCCCTTAAGACTTGCCGTGATTTCACAATAAGCCTAACAATACATTGCAAATACGTTTAAATGAAGAAGAGGAGAGTTATCATTTGGTTATAAGTTAGGAAACTGATATCATCTCTTAATAGATTTGAAGTACTCATCGCTTTAAAACCATTCTAATAGTTAGAATTGAAACAGTCACGGGGATGGTGGGGAGTTAATGGCAACACTTCACTCATTGGGAGGGAGGGGTGAGATAGGAATGATGAGAGGGAAAGTAGGAAGGCACCTTTTCAGATTATGATAGATTTTTCTCTTGCGCATGCTTATAGTCTTTCCTTAGTTCAAATAAGTAATTTTTTAGTTGCCATCCCGACTGTGCTTTTGACTGGAAACCAAACAGATGCTACCTATTAAAAAAGCATTACTTCCTTGTTGGTATGTTGCACGAAATGTTTTCGGCGAGAAAATGTATATTATGTGATCTATGATGTCGCGTGTGAAGCTAAAATATCGTTCATTAACCTTTCTTTTTTTCAGTAAGGTTAAAAAAATCCTGACCCTATTTTAACTTCTCATCTCGCTAAAAAGAGTTTTCATACGGAGAGGGAACAAAAAGCGACACAAAGAAAAACAAACACACACACAAACACAGAAAAAAATAGTTCTAAAGAAATTTATATTTATTCTGAGAGAGGAATGATGCCATCACACTCACAGCATATATCAAATTGTTCGCTGTAAGCTCGTAGCTTCCCGAACGTTTCAGCACCTTTTTCTTCAAAATGTCTTCACAGGAATGCCCTGAAAGTCATAAAAAGCAGTTATGAATGACTGACCAAGAAAAAAGATGCAATGACTATGAATGATTTTATTTCTTCATTAAGATTAATAGTTTTGAATTTTTTTTTACGGAGATGCCGACTAGCTACTCCTATTAGGAGCAGGGAGCCAGGGCACATGTGTTGATTGTTTGTTTGTTTGTTGGTTGGTGTTATAAGCCTTATTTTGAGTTAAACAGGAACAGGGCATATGTGTTGATTGTTTGTTTGTTTGTTCGTTGGTTGGTGTTATAAGCCTTATTTTGAGTTAAACAGGAACAGGGCATATGTGTTGATTGTTTGTTTGTTTGTTTGTTGGTTGGTGTTATAAGGCTTATTTTGAGTCTCGAGATGTAACATATAGGAAGGAAGATGAGAGTCACAGACAAGCGTGCGCTTGTAAATCTCTATTTAAAAGAACGCTTAACTATGCAAAAGCTGTTTCTCTTTAATTGGTGGAGTTTTGAATAGTTAAGATCAATGTTTGTAGGTTATTGGCAGTGGCGGATGAAGACCTTTAGCTAAGGAGGTGGCCGTTTTTGTCTGTGTTAACCTGCCGGCTTTTTTTCCCTCTGCGTTTATTTTTCCCCCAAATATGGGGGTGGTGGGGAGGGGGGGAGTGGGCGTGGCCTTCCCTAGCCCCTCCCCTTGATACGCCACTGATTGATATTGCCGCCATAGCAGATTTTGCCTCTTGAACTGATATACAATGAGTGTCAGCTAACTGGAGTAATCACAGATCAAATTGAATACATACGACACCTTTCCCCCTCAAAACTACTGAAGCGGTTGTTTCTGCTAAACGGATATACTTTGGTCTCTAAAATTAATATGCAATGCGTTTCAGGTAGATGAATTTAAAGAAAATCAACTTATCCGAAATACTAACAGATTTCCCCTTGACAACTACTTCTGTTGTCATTCTGCTAATCCAATGAGGTTTCTTACGTGACAGACATACGTTCCGTCGCTGTTGTTTACAACAGGGTTAAATTCGAGGCAGCCTTGTTCCTGAAAAACCAGTGATGTACCAGCAGAGTACACTTGACGAGCGCGAGACCATTCGACGCTGGGACGAGGAAGGCCCTCAGCCTCACAACACAGACTTAATACGGAGCCTTCATCTGCGATAACGAAAGAAGGTAGTTTCTTGACAAATGTCGGTGGCTCTGATGGCAGAATAAAATCGTTACAAAAATCGACATATGATTAATAGCATCGCGTGATCAACAGCAGACATTAGCTAAAACTTTGGTATCAATTAGCAAAAAAAAAAAAAAATTAGCTTTGATAATAGCAACGACAAACAACTCAAACCTATCATAATATTTGAATTATAAGTTTATCATGTACAGTATCATGTACTGGTCTTCGTACAAGCGCCAACGAAACAAAGTTAACGGTATCGTAAAAAATTGCAAAAGCAGATATTACCGTGAACTCTTAGAGGAGACTGTGGGTTCACCTAACAAATTTTGGTCAGCTATTAAAAAACTATACCCTACAAAGTCTACAAAGGAACCAGGAGCAGCTTTTCTCGTTAATGGAGCAGTAGAAACCGACAAAGAGGTTATTGCAAATTCGTTCTGCAAATTCTTCACTGATGTTGCGGGATCTCTAAAAAGAAAGATCTTCCCTCTTTGTAATTTTGTCTGGAAAAGGCCCCTTACAATAGACACTCAGCAGCCGCTAGAGAACTTTGAGTTTAGATCAGTCTCGGATAAGGTTGTCTTTAATGCATTAAAGAGCCTTAAGAGAAATAAGTCCTCTGGCCTTGACAACTTTCCTTCTGGAATGTTAAAGGACTCTGCTGATATAATAGCCAAGCCTCTCACGCATATAATTAACCTGTCTCTCGCAACAGGGTCTATACCTACTGACTGGAAAGCGGCTAAAATTGTACCACTTTTTAAATCTGGTTCAATGGCCGAAATCGACAATTATAGGCCTATTTCAATACTTCCTTCAATGTCAAAGATCCTGGAGAAAGTGGTATTTAAGCAGCTGATGGCTCATTTTGAACAGAATGGTCTACTTTCTCATTTTCAGTACGGCTTCCGTCGCATGCGCTCTACTGAACTGGCCGTTACTCATCTAACCGATGTTATCAGAAGAGAAGGTGAGAATGGTAACCTGACAGGCTGTGTTTTCATCGATCTATCAAAGGCGTTTGACACCATCAGTCACTCTGGCCTCCTGAGCAAGCTTTCAACTTACGGAGTTCGTGGAACAGAACTCGCATGGTTCACTGATTACCTTTTCTGCAGATCACAAGTTGTCCAATATAAAGGCGTGCTATCAGAACCTCAACCCATTCTCACAGGTGTTCCTCAGGGAAGTATCCTGGGTCCTATCTTATTCATTATCTTTTTCAACGATGTACATAAACCGCTTCAACACTCGAAGATTATCACTTATGCCGACGATTCAGTCATCTATACCTCTTCTAAAGATATTGATACTATACAGAGAAGCCTTAGCGAGGATATGAATAACCTGTGCGAGTGGTTTAAAGACAACGAACTGATCATTAACCTAAAAAAGGACAAGACGGAGTCTATGTTATTTGGAACAGCTAAAAGAATCAACCTTCAAGACAAGGAACTTAAACTTTCTGTTAATGGGACACTCATCAATAACACCTCTACCTATAAGTACTTAGGTGTTCACCTTGACTCATCACTAAACCTTGCATCACATTTTGACCGAATCTATAAAAAAGCTGCAACCAGAATTAATCTCTTGCGATCAATTCGTCCTTTGATCGACCAAAAGTGTGCAGAATCGATCTATAACACTATGATCGCACCTATTTTTACCTATTGCGGAACACTTGGTCTTAGCTTTCCGGATTACCGAAAGGAAATGATAAAGAACATCGAACGACGAGGCTTTAAAGTTATTGGCAATAGTTCTTTTAATCCCCCATCCGTGAACAATTTGATCAAGCGTAAAAGCTGTTTGTTTGTTTTCGACTGTCTCCTGAATAATGTTTGCACACCCTTTAAGAACTACTTCGAAAGACTGGTTCATTCTAAGGCCACTAGGAATAACGGTATATCAGTGAAATTACCCAAAGTACGTTTAGAATTTGGTAAAAAGAGCTTCTATTACCAAGGAGCAAAGACTTTCAACAACCTGCCTGCTGAACTAAGGTCGTTAGATTCGAGACTGAAATTTAAGAACAAATTGCGAGATTATTTTAGTTAAAAATAAAAATTCGATCTAAACGTGGTTATAGGTATCCTTTTTCAGAGCATTTTATTTTATTGTATGCTTTTCTAGACCTTAAGATCAATGATTATATCTTGTTAAGTTTTATTTTATTTATTTATTTATTATTTTGACAGGACCCCAAGGACAACAGTGTTACACACTGATGGGTTTTCAATCCTGTATAAAAATTCGTTATTATTATTATTATTATTATTATTATTACTATTATTATTACACATAATCCCCCCCAGAGTGATCGGCATCAAAGTGGTTAATTTACTATCTAAACACACTCAAGGTCTCCGGCTGCCTCTGGAAAGAGAAAAATGCGTATTTGATTTAAAAATTACAGTCACCACTGGTGTTCAAAAAGAATATCCTAAAAAATCGGAAAAAGTTGGCGACTTAAATCCTTACCTTTTACTTGTAAAGTGCTGAAAGCCTCCATACTTCCGAGACCTGTGTTAGCTGAACATATGTACGACCCAATATGTGACCTTTGTACGCTGTTGAATCGGAGCATACCATCTTTAACAGTAGCATCAGACAGAGTACCTCCAAGTTTACGCCACGTGATCTTGAGGGTAGTCTGCCCTTGTGCCCAAAAGAAAAAAAATTGCTGTCTCGTTCACAAAGACTGCCTGAGATATAGGATGTACACTGATCTTCAGTGGAACGACGCATTCTCCTTTTGGTCCCTAAATACCAACCAATCCTCGGCTACCTTTGTTCCCTTTACAGCCAGTGGATCCCTTTTTTCCTTGACGAACCTTCGGTCCAGTCTCTCCCTTTAACCCGATTGCTCCAATGGACCCTGTATCGCCTTTTTCGCCTATTACTCCTTGAGCTCCCACAGGTCCTCTTTTGCCACCTGCGCCTGGAGCCCCAATAGGCCCCAATGGGCCTGGTTGTCCTTCCTTTCACGAAACCCCTTTCTCT